TATCTTCTGTGTCTGTGTTAATTGGTTTCCCTTTTCTTTGTTGAAGAGGGTCTGTGCAATCCTTCTGCCTAGTCCGCCATCTTGCCCCCGTGCATCTTCATTATTCTTTAATATATAGTATTGTGTGAATGTACTATAGTTTGGTTATCCAACCATCTGTTGTTGGGCATTTAGGTTGTTTCAATTTCTGTAGGTTCTCTTTTTACCCTTTTGGATAAGTCTTTAGATGCACTTAAGAATTTAATTTTTAAGAGGTTGCAGTCATCTAGGTTCTCTTAAAATCACTCTTTTGTATGTCTTCATTGGTGAGCTCTGAATTTAACATCTTCCCATATGCTAGTGACTTGGAATCTCCACCTCCAAACCAAATATATATCCCAAGCTGTAGACCTGTATGTCCATCTGCCTTATAGAAATTTCTTTTTAGATAGACCGTGATATCTTTTCATTTATTTTTATTTTTTGAAATTTTATTGTGATTTGAGTAAAAGTTTAGAGCAAATTCATTTTCCATACAGCAGTCCCACATACACTTTGTCTTATGACATTGACTGTAATCTCCCACAATGCAACAGCTCTCCTCCCTCTTCCTCCCCATATTACCTCTTCCCTGTGCCCTTCCCTCCCATGCATTCCTGCCCCCCAAGCTCTGTGCATACACTGCTCTTCTGTTCTCCCATGATTGATCTCTCCAAGGAGTATATCTACCTGATGTAAATGTTCAGCCTGTATGCTGAACATGTGGCTGGCAGTCACAGGAGTGAGTTCAATTCTAGACCTGAAGGGCAGCTAGGGGCCATAGTCTCAGGGATTTCACCAGGCTCTGTCAGACCAGCAAACCTGTTTTTTTTTTTTTTTTTATGATTTTGAGTTTTGTTCCACACTGTTCTCCTACTCTATCCAGGATCTCCTACACACATCCCCAACAAGTGGTTGACAGTGGTAGCTGGGCACCATCTAGTTCTGATCTCATGGTTAGACCATGATATCTTAAACTTTTTTTTCAGAATTGAACTGAATGTACTTAAGTCTTCACCCCAATCCGCAATCTGTTCTACCTTCTGTGTTCTTACAATCAGTGATCATTCAGCAAGTCCTTTGAGCCAAGGAGATATCCCAGACTTGTCCCATTTTCTCACTTTCTAAAGATGACTAATCTCTATTTTCATTACCACTGTTTAGTTCAGACCCTTGTCATTTTTGCTTTGCTATGGCTATAACTTCTGATGGCTGGTTTCCTCCTCTTGTTTCTTCCATTCCAATCCATATTCTACTTTGTTTCCAAAGAGTTTTCTAAAAATACATTTTTGTCATGTCTCTTCTCTGATTGGAACTCTTCAGTGATTTTTTAGTACTTCTTGGCAATTTTTTCAAATTCCTCGAAACTTGTTTAATCTCAAGATATGTGTTTCCTGACATTTCCTTCTTATCTTCCTTCTGAAATGATGCCCATCTTCTTTGTTTCTCTATCATACTCCAGTTGCAATCTATGGTATTTTTATTACAGCTTATAATCAATGCTGTATTATAATAATATTTTCCCAATAGGCTATTGAGAACTTGAGGACAGGAATTATTTTCATTTTTGTCTCTTGTAGCTATCATAGTTCTTGGCAATAAAAGGTGTTCAGTATATGTTAAAATAATAAATGAATGAATTAGATGAAAATGTAATTTTCTAAATTAAAGATTTTGCCTCAAATTGATAATCTAAGCAATAACCATTTCTGTCTTGCTTTTCCACCTCTTGATGCTTTAGGTGTGGGAGTTGATGGAGGCAATGACAAAGATTGGGAAGCCAATGCCTGCAAAATCCAGCTTATTAAGAAGAAGGGGAAAGTTAAGGCACTGGATGAAGAAGTTCACAGTAATGTACTTAATTTGATCTTTGTCACCCTTCCCCTTCTTTTCCCTTCCCCCACAAATTAATTTTCCCCCAAAATTTTGGGACCCATTTTAAGAATACTCATTGCTGTTGAGTTGATTCTAACTCATAGTCATCCTGTAGAACAGAATGGAACTGCCCCAAAGGAGCTCCGGTAGTACAGTGCCTAAGGCATTTGACTGCTAACCAGAAGGTTGGCAGTTCAAACCCTCCAGGCTCTCCATGGAAGGAAGATGGGGCAACCTACTTCTGTGAAGATTTACCACTTTGGAAACCCCGTGGAGTTCATTATGAGTTGGAATTGACTTGGTAACAGTAGGTTTGGTGTTTTATAGGATTCCAAGGCTGAAAATCTTTACGGAAGCAAATTGACACATCCTTTTCCCATGGAGTAGCTGGTGGGTTTGACTTAGCAGCCAGTGTTCAACTAAGATTGTACCACCAGGGCTCCTATTTTAAGAATATGATTCTTAAAGTTGTGAGGAGGGAAGAAAAGAGAGTTTCATTACTGCCTGAACTAATTTTAAAATCTGTGACTTTAGAAATGATCGTAGTAACTAGAGAAGGAAATTAGGTACATTATGTAAACTCAGTTATGCTAAAATGAAGTTGCTTCATAACGAGGAAGGACCTTTTATAGAACAGAATATATTTTTAGTAGTAGTCTTATTCAAGTGTCCTCACTTGGTGATTGTCTTCATTTTGGACTAAATGCCGAATTTGGATGTATAGTTGATCTGAATGTTACACCTTTTAGCAGGTCTGATGTAGTCAGCTAAGTATCTCATTCCTTTTTCACTATTTTCTTACTTCCCTGACATAAAGTAGTTGCCCAGAGATACAAGCACAAGCGCCATTAAAGAGGATATGCTTCTCAGTATTTAATTCATAACATTATGCTTATACAATTTATTTTTTCATAAGAAACGTGAAAATAAAACAAAAACTTAGATTGATTATAAAAAATATTTTAAAAATTATTTATGAAAACCAAGTAACAGTAGGTGTCTTGTACCCACTCAAAATGAATGCTGTCATAATCATTGTAAAAGAGTGGAGGTAGAAGATGAAAATAATTGATTTAATAATTTTTTTTTGGCACATAAGCCTCATATTTAGCTGTGTAGTAATTGTCTAATAAATAAAATTAATACTTATTTTGCCTGTATTGTGGGTAACATTAGCTAGGGATAAAGCAGACGCTCAAAAACTATATTTCAAAAACTATGGTAAAAATATTCTATATACAGTGAATATTACACTCTGTATACCAGGTCAAATATAGTAGGTTTTACAGGAGAGAATAAACAGAGAGCTATGAGTCTGGGAGAGGTCCACTAGGTTGGAGAGACTAAGGTTACATAGAGAACAGTGGCTGGTTATATTTGGGCAGTGAAGGTGAGAAGGGAGGGCCTTCTGAGCAGAATAGCTGGGCTAAAGCTAAGAATAAAACATACCCGTTGCCACTGAGTTTATTCTGACTTATAGTGACCTTATAGAACAGAATCAAGCTGCCCGTAGAATTTCTAATGCTATAATGTTTATGAGAACAGACTGCCACTTCTTTCTCCCATGGAGCAACTGGTGGTTTCGAATGCCGACCTTTTGATTAGCAGCCAAGCACTTTAACCACTGCACCACCAGGGCTCCTATTACATGATAGTGTTTTAGGCTGGGTTCTCTAGAGAAACAAAACCAAAGAGGGAGAAGGAGAAGGAAAGATGGAGAGAGAAATTTATCTCAGGGAAATGGCTCACACATTTGTAGAAGCTTGCAAGTCCCAAGTTCATGGGTTAATCATCAAGCTGGAAGCTTCTGACTCACGCAGCTGTTGGGGCTGACAAACCCAAGATTGGTGGGCAGTATAGCAGGCTGCTGGCTTCAGAGGTTGACAAATCCAACATCAGCAGGTAAAATGGCAGATTGCTGGCTCACAGGCTGTAAAGGCAACAATGCCAAGGTAGGCAGGCAGTATGGCAGGCCACTGGATCAACTCCAAGAACCGGAGATGATAATGAGTTAGGTGCAGGATCCGGATTCAGCAGAAAGCCAGAGAATTTTCTCAGGATGTCCATATGTTTTATATATATATATATATATATGTTTTTTATATATATATATATATATA